CCACTGTTGAACCACGCTGGCGCTCAGCTAGATGTTCAGGGGACTCTACTGGGAGAGGTACTGGGCACCAGAATGGATGATTCTTCTGGAAGATCTTTCAGTTGATATGCGCCTTTCTGTGCTAGGGCAGAACAGTAAGTACTGGTGACAGGTGAGGGGCACATGATTTCTGGCACTTTGATGGCCTGAGGCTTGCAGGCCACTCACACAAATGGCCTTTCTGTATTCCTGGCTTCAACCAGGGCAGCTGGAAAGGAAAAGCCTAGGAGGTGCCAGAGCAGCCCTGGAAGCTTGTCTGTAATCATCTGCCTGGTGGAGCAGTACTGCCTTGCTTTGCTGTACAGATGAAGGTGGGACCTTGGGAGAAGTCAGGCTCTCCTGAGGCCTGGCATCTGCAGGGTTAGATCATCCAGCCATGTCTCAGGAAATGATCAAGTAGCTACACCTGTAAGGGCCCTGGAGTGCCAGTGCCCACACATATTCGTGGTGATCGCTAACTGTGTTGAGCAGGGCTTGGGACTGTGAGCTTTTATGTGTGAGGCACGAGGCACCCACCAGGAACAGAGGCAGTGTTTGGAGGTGGTGAATAAGTTGATCAAATATTTAAACTCCTAAAACGTGGGTACTGACAGCAGATTTTGGAAAACATGTGCTCTTATTTATCTGAAAAATCTTGTGACTATAAAACTAATTCACCTTGAGTTATGCACTTAGGCAATCTTCTTTTGAAAAAAGGACCAAAGTAGTTGGGCTTTCCGGGAAACTCCTGGGTAGAAGGTGCTGTGTGGCCTGGCGTTTCCCACTTGCAGAAGTCTCAGTGTAGACACTGACCTGACCTGTCCTCTTTGGAGTAAGGACCAGGTCAGAATACCTGGAACAGCACTGAGTCGCCTCAGTGAGAACCTATCTATGCCTCCCAGAGGCACAAGCTCTGACCAGGAAGGAGAAGCATAAGGGACAGGGCAAGGTCAGGGGCTGAGGAATCTTCTGGGTTCCAGTGCAGTGAAAAACCACAGGCTGGCCTCTCCCCCGTGCTTCTCCTAAGGTGCCCTTTGCAACTCACATGTGCAGCACAGAGGCAGAAAGAAAAGAGGAGAGGAGGGGCTGGAGCAGGGGGAAACTGGGTGGACAGTTGTTTTCAGGGGTCACGAGAAAAAGCCAGTAGAGAAATGCCAGGGGGCTATTTTATCCATTCTAAGACATACCCCCCAACCCCATCTCAATATCTCTGAAATCAGAATACACTTAAGAGCATAAAGAATCTTAGAGCTGTACTGGGCTTCAATACCTTTCTTAGCGGTACATGGAACAGTGGTGCATCTTACTTTCAAGTCTGTGTTAGATCCTATGAAATATGGTGAGTACTGTTGCAGTCACTGATTACAGCAGGTGGCCTGGGAGAGCCGGATCCTCTGGGCCAGTTGCCACCTCATCCCGAGGGTCACTCTGTTTGTCCTGCACCTATGCTCCAGGCAGAGACTTTGCTGCATCTTGGAACCCTTCCCCTTTCAACAGAGTCCTCCTAGGTCTTCTGTGTGCCTCCCTTGTGTCTCTTTGTAGAGCCGAACTTCCTCTTTTTATTATAAGGACACAGGTGAAATCAGGTTAGAGCCCACTCTGCTGACCTCATTTTGACTTAATTTCCTCTCTAAAGGCTTTATTTCCAAATACAGTCACGTTCTGGGGTACTGGGGTTGGAGTTTCAACTTAGGCATTTTTTGAGTGTGTGTGTGTTGAGGGTAAGAAACACAGTGTAGCCCGTAACGGTATCCAACGCCAGCACCCACGATGCTCTCAGGCTGTGTGACTTCTTTGTATTTGTGATTCTAGTGGCCTGAGTCAGCAGGTACATTTCAAGTCTGGAGGGGTTTTCTTCTGGGTTATAGAAACGCTTGGATTCCATACAGAAAATATCTATTGAACATGTACTGCCTACACACCAGAGAGCCAGGAGTCAGAAAAGAACAAGACAGTGTGCTTTTTAATTTTTTGATTCATGACGCAGATGAGGCCTGAGTAATACATGGTATAATTCTTGGGGTAGTCACACCTGGGTGAGAAAACTCACCACAGGACCTTGGATCCATGGGAGCCCTGCAGAGAATGAGTGATGGTACAGGCAGGACAACATGAGAGGACTCCCGGGCAAGAGGATGTGGAGCCAGGCTTGCTTTGAAGGATGTGTAGGCACTGAGTAGAGCTCTCCAGAAATTTTCCTCATTTGTAAAGTGGAGTAACAGCTGAAAGTTCCAGGGGGTTCTTTTAAGGATAAATGAGATAATTTGGCAATTATTTGAAATAATTTGGCAAATTCTCAAACCCTTCACAAATATAGGATGTTCTTAGGCAGACTTAGCATTGCTGCAGAAAGTGAGTGTGGTGGATGTGAGAATGGGTAGGGGTGGGAGTAGGGAATGCAAATAGTAGAGCTCCATGGCAGATGCCACTGCCCAGAGAGGGAAGAAGGGAAGAAGGGTGGATGTGAGAATGGGTAGGGGTGGGAGTAGGGAATGCAAATAGTAGAGCTCCATGGCAGATGCCACTGCCCAGAGAGGGAAGAAGGGAAGAAGGTGGAAGAGGGGAAGAAAGTGGGGAGTAAGTGGCCCTCTCATGTGCTTAGGCCCTGACAGTGCTGGCACGGGGCCTTATGCTTACCAGGTCCAATAAGAGGCTGATACAATAAATGAATGTCAGGAGCAGCCCTGGTTGCCTGATCAATATGTGCATGCAGGTCTCCCGCTATGTGCTCCAAATGGGAAGAGGGACCAGTTGGCATTGCTAAATGCAGCATCAGTGTGGAACAATGCTTCACTGCCTTAGAATTGGAAAACTTGCTCAAGAGTGACATTGCATGTCATCCCACATGGGACTGGGCTTTTTACTTCCCCTGATATCCCAGAGTGGAGATGCTGAGTAGGACCCTCTATACTTCTGGGCTGAGAGCTCCCAGAGAGGGTATGTCAGACAAGGATAGCAATGCAGACAGAGGCTTAGCTGAGGTCCTCTCTGATTCATTGCAGTGAGTGAGCCCTGCTCCCTGCTTTGGATGTGGTACTGTGTTCATCCCAAATTGTATAAACTGGTGGCTTTCAAATCCATTTGGGTAACAAAGTGCCTAGAAGTCATGTTTTTTTTATGCCAAGTGTCTTGAAATGCTGATAAATATAATGCCATTTTATGGAATGGGAACCCTTTTGATAGCAGGAAACTGACTATATTATATAGGCATTATATTTCAATCACAACTAAAACACAGGCTGTCAAGCTGATGCCTCCTGAATTGGCTCCTGAGCACCTCTGCTCTGTTTTCTCTGCCAGCACACCACTACCTCCCTGAGCTCAATAAAGAAATTCCACAGTAATTCTTGACTCTTCTCCCTGCTTACCTCCGATCCCTGTCCTGTCCACATCAATCCAATAACCAAGTTCCATGATACTGACTACCCCCCATGCCCAGTACTGGAGATACAACCCAGGGCCTTGCACATGCTGGGCAAGCGCTATCCCACTGAGCTACACCCGCAGCTTTGGGAATGACTGCTAAGTTAGCTCCTGATTCTGAACACATCTCTCTTTCTTCATTCCCACTACCTCATTCAGTGACTGCAGTCTCCCGCCTGAGCTTCAGCTGCAGCCCCCATTCACACTGAGCTGTCCTCCACATCAGAATAGCTAATGAACTTTCTAGAACAGCAATCCAAAAGGATCGCTCCTCTGCCCGACTTTCCAGGGACTTCCAAGCTAACAAGACCCCAACCTGGCCAAAGAATGTTTCTCTTGTTTAATTTTCTCCCACCTCACTGTCATGCCCTACATGTCTCAACCGAGGGGAATTATTTATTGTTGGTACTTGTGCTTTTCTCCCTACTGGAACATCTGCTCCCACTCGGTTGTTTCAGCCTCTCCTCCTCCTTCATTTTTGATGACACCTCCTTCTGGAAGTCTTTCCCCTGGGATGCCTACTCTCCAGGACTGTCATCAGATGTATCCTGGCATACCTCACTGCTTGCTTGGATTCCTGGTATCCTGCTTGCTCTCCGGGCCCCTTGCATCCATGCTCTATACTGCAGTCTGAATCACCTCTCTTCTAGGCAGATCTGGTCATGTGATTCCTGCTGCCCTTAGGGTCAATGCCAACTCCTGGCATGACTTTTAAGGCCGTCCATGATCTCACCTAGGCAGGCTGCCCAGATTCCACTCATGCCAGGACCCTGTAGGATGCTGCTGTCCTGGATGTCTTTCAGGTCCTCCATGAGGATGCCTGCTACCTAACTGTGTACTCTATCTGCTTCCCAATGTCTAGACTCTTTCTCTTAACTCTCACCTCTTTACCTGCATAATTACTACACATCCTTCAGGTGCCAGATATCTTCTAAATATCATTTTCTCCAGAAAGCTGTCCTGGAATAGCCAGGCTAGGTTGTGAATCTCTCCCCCCAGTCTATTTCTTAGTCCCTATGACCCATAGATTTTATTGCTTGATTAACTGACTATTGTTTCCTCCAGAATATGAGCTATAGAACCATGTATATTTTATTCCTGCCCACATTTTTGGGCACAATGTAGATCAATGCTTAATGAATATTTATGGAATCAAGAATAAATAAATGACTATTTCTGTTCCTACTACTAGAAGCTAGAACTCTTAACTAACTTATCTCAATGTGTGTGGCGCGTGGATTGTGCCTGTAAGTATGTTGAATAAATGAAAGAACGGATGATTGGCTCATTTCAAGGTCATTTATTTTATAATGCATTTTCAACTATATGCTTGTTCATGCCTTTTACCATCTGCAAGAACTTGCTAGCAGAAGAGCGGTGGCTGGCCCTGACATTATTTTAAAAGTGTCGGTTGTAAAAGTTAAAATCCTGAGTTTGGAGAATTTTCTTTGTTTTATTACCTGTGACTGGTAATAGTTGGATCCCTGGGCCCCTCTATGGGAGGCAGTGTGCCCTGGAAACCGTCCTGCTCACTCCTTGTGTCCATTTCTCCTGGCCAGAGCCTTGCCGCCCAGTGGCTCCGCTGCCCCAATGGATCCACTGAATCTGTCCTGGTATGATGACGATCTGGAACGGCAGAACTGGAGCCGATCCTTCAATGGGTCGGAAGGAAAGGTGGACCGGCCCCACTACAACTACTATGCCATGCTGCTCACCCTTCTCATCTTCGTCATTGTCTTCGGCAACGTGCTGGTATGCATGGCTGTGTCCCGCGAGAAGGCACTGCAGACGACCACCAACTACCTGATCGTCAGCCTCGCGGTGGCCGACCTGCTTGTTGCCACGCTGGTCATGCCCTGGGTTGTCTACCTGGAGGTAGGTGTGGGCCCCACCTTACTCCAGTGCTTTCTGCAGGAAGCCCTGTGCTACATCCTGGGCTCCAGGTACCCGATTACTTCCATCACAGGCTGCCTGCCACTTCCTCCTTTGCTTCTGGGCTAAACTTTTTTCCTTATCAGGTGGTTAGATTGTCTCCTTAATAAGTGTAACTACTATTTGTAGAGTATTTAGTAAGTGCTGGGCCTTGGGGTAAATACACAGCACTTTCCTAAATAATACTCCAAGCAGCTCTGAGAGGCTGGCATGATCAACATTTTGCAGATGGTGAAGCAGGTAGGTGATCAGGAAAGTTAGGTGATTTCTCCAACATCATACAGTTGGCAGGCAAGAAGTGCAACTTCATCTGGCTCTAGAAGTGGTTCAGTGGGTCATGGTGGAAATGGAACAACTGGTGAAGATCTCCAGGGAAGGGACATGTTAATGCTCCCAGGCCTGAAACCTTCATCCCTCCCTGCCAGTGTCAGAAGTGGGGCTGCTGCCCTGAGCTTTCTTAATCTTCTCCATTCCTGGTGGATTCAGGCACCCATGACCAGCACCTCCAGGAAGAGGCTACCTTTAACAGTGTGACAGTCCCTTTCTTTAGGAAGAATTGTGCAACTACCCGTTGTACCACCCAGGATGGAGCACACAGCTCTGTGCCTGGCGGTGGGGAGCAGGCAGCCTTGCAGTGTGGCCCAGACACTTTGCCAAGTGTGGTACATATACTGATTAAGTAACTGTGGGAGCTGATGCTACTCTCCCCCTTTTACAGGAAATAGAGACTTCGGGAAGAGGCTGCTGTCTTCACCTAGGCCCTGTAGCAAAGGAAGAAACCCTAAGGGGAGCCCCTCCCAGAAGACACTTTCCAAACCTGGCGGGTAGATCTGGGAGGGCCTAAGGGGGTGGTGTGAGTGGGCACAAGCTGGGTCCTGTCCCATTTTCTGCCCAGAAGTCTAGGGTTACCTCTCCAGGACTGAAGCCGGCCTGGACTCTGTGTGTCTGGAAAAGCCAATCAGGCACTGGGGAAGATGCCACCACTCAGGTCTGAGCCCTGGACCAAAGGCGAACTCACCTGTGTCACAGACAAGTCCCTGTCTGGGAGGGAAGGCTTCTGTTGCTGAAAGGAAGTATAAAATCTTCGTAGGCTTGAGCACAGGAGATGACTGGAAGCATAGCTCAAGTGGGGAGGGGAGGCTGGTCCAAACTGGCCCCCCTGCCCGTCCCCGGGCTCCCAAGGGGCTCTTGTTCTCCTGTTGAACCCAGCACACTGGTGCACAGGGAGTTCTGGCCCATCATTCCCTTGGTTTTGTTAGAACAACCAGAACAGTTTGAAACTTCCAAACTGACCTGGCTGAATAGTAAAGAAGAATCGAAAGAAAATGCAATAAATTAAAAGAAAACAGCATAAAAACATAGGCCAGGTTTCTCATTCTTTATGGCTCACATGTGTGTGAGGACCCTGGATTCTGTCCATCCCATATCCTGTCTGAAAGCTTCTTTATTCTCAGGCTTGATCGACATCTGCTTCCTTCCAAAAGAGAGTCCTAGACCCCAGACCATTAGGGAAAAGTCGAGAGTAAAGCGGGAGAACAAACAACCTCTGTATTTTTCAGTCTCCTGATCTATGATGTGGGAATAATAATGGTACCCGCCTCATAGAGTTGTTTCAGGATCCAATGAGTCGCTCTATGGAAAGTGCTTAGAATGGTACCCTGCACATGTAAGTATGCAAGGGTGATGAAGATAAAGATGATGATAGATTATTCAACAGCTCTCCTCCCAGAGGGAGCTCTCTGTTCTTCTTGCCACCTGCCTCCATACCTAGGCAAAAAGACACCGTCTTCCCAGAGTGAGCGGTGTTCTCCTTGGGGCTCTGGGTATGACTTCTGCTACCTTCCAGACTCCCCGTCCCTACCTAGACACTTGGGCAGAGGCAAATCTCTACACAAGCTATATCAGGGTCCTCAGCCATCTAAATCCTTCAGAAAAATATTTTAAACACCTTTAAAATTTGTCCACCAATATTTTAGAGGTGAAGCCATGCATGTCAGCAGGCAGCATGCAGACAGACACTTTCTCAGGCAGTACCCAAACTCTCCCACATAAGCCCCTGAAAACAAGACCTTGGGGGCAAGCCCCAACTGAAGGACATAATCTCCTCAATGTATTGACCCTGGTGGAGTGTTGCCCAGCATTCTGTTAACCACGCAGTGTACTTTCTCCAAGAGATGTTGTAGTGGTCTAGAGTTCTTCATCCTGTTCCGTTCTAGCAATGCTAACTGTCCCCTACAGCCTGCCATGCCGCCCTTTTCTTGTCTTGGGTATACTCTGCCCCCTGTAGGAAAAACATGCGGACTTCGGAGTGGGAGGACTGGGCTCACATCCCGACTCCATCTCTTTTCAATGGGGTAGTGGTGGGAGAAGTTCCTGACAAATGGCAGGAAAGGGTCACTTGCCTGCATGTGGATCCAATTGAGGCCCCTTCTACCCTTTTAAGGTGAGGTTGACCGTGTATATTTACTAGAAGAAGAGACTGGAAAGATGATCAAGGTCCTGGGGATGTAGGCCAGTGGTAGAGCACTTGCCCAGCATGTGTGAGGCCCTGGGTTCAATCCCCAGCATCACAAAAAGAAGCAACCATGGAGTGGTTAATTTCTCTCCATACTACTACCTCCCTCACCTCCACCCAAACATCTGTGCAGACTGAGTAAATGAGATTGGAAGTGTTCTCTGTATGGAATGATCGGGAGTTGGAAAAACTAAGGCCGTCTCTAAAGGGGCAACACTCATCCATTCATTCAGCAGATGTGTTCTGAAAAGATGAGCAAAGATCTCAAAGGTATTTTATTCACTCACTCAGCGCTGATTGAACACTTCCATCTTGGACCTTGGGGTCTAAGGCACTGGCCTGCTATGGATGAAGACAGGGCCCCAGTACAATACAGTTTCCTGGAGGTGACATGGGACAGTCCCCAGGAGACAAGGGGAGTAGAGGGAGCATGTGTCCCAGCCTGGAAGTATTGGAAAGGCTTCCAGAAAGAGGTAATACTTGGTGAAGAATTATCCAGAAGAAGCAGTAAAACAGAACCACCTCCTCTGAGAGAAGGAGCCAGAGTCCTGAACACTGAGGTTTGCCATTCTCATTCCACAGATTTGAACACAACGTGTGTGGAACAACACCTGACACACTAAGTGCTGGGCATTATTCTAGTTTTGTTAGCATTTGCTGGCTCCAGCTCAGAGCTTCTCATGCTGGTCCCGGCCCTACAGGAGCAAGATGTCAACGAAAGATGCCCAAAAGTGTGGAGGAAGGACCCTTTGTGCAGCTGGAAAGCCTGGGCCAATCCTTCCTCTGCCACTAAATCTCCAAGTGACCTTGGGCAAGTCTGTTTTCTTGTGTGACCCTGTTTGTCCACCCTTGGCATGGTAATCTGTCCTTGCCATGTTCTATATTCACCAAGTGCTTTTTACAGACGATGATCTCTTTTAACAAGTTCGATGGTCCCTTCTTTTTCTTTCTTTTTTTTTTTTTTTTTTGTCTTTTGGAGACAGAGTCTCCCTATGCAGTTCAGCCTAGACTTCAGCTCACTTTGTAGCCCAGCCTGGTCTCAAACTCACGATGATCCTCCTGTCTCAGCCTCCCGAGTGCTGGGATTACAGGCGTGTGCCACCAGGCCTGGCCCATGGTCCCTTCTAAGATGGTCTTCTCCGTTCTTAAAAAAGCAAGCGATGTGATGCCTGACGAACTTGTCTCACATCCCAGCCTGGCTGAATGCTTGCTGGGTGAACTTAGTCATGCTTTGTGGTCTCTCTGAGCTTCCGTTCCCTCATCTATAAATGGGGATCAGCAACCACTTCTTTTAACAGTTTTAAAAACAATCAATGAGATAAAGTACAGCGCCCAGAGTAAACATTCTACAAAGCGGCTGTCAGTGCTTTTTCTTGGGTTTCTGACCGGCCACCCCTAATTTGAATGGTCTCAAAGCAGTTGCTCCTGAGACCAAAGAGGAAAGCCTTCCCTTCCCAGGCAGGCTGTTGGGGAGAGGGGCTGGAGAGGGTCCTGAAACAGGGACCATGTGTGAACGGTTCATGTCTGTGTCCAGAAACCTAAGATAAAGACTAAGCTGCTCAGTAAGTGTTTATAAAGAGGAGGGAAGGAAAAAGGAGACAGAGACAAAGGGCCTGAACTCTCAGACCTGGGTTACTGGGTACGTGAAAGCAGCTCCTGGGTGCTGGTCCTAGGAGAGGCTTTAAGGTGAGGTTAGTGTGAATCAGATGGGCTAGGGACCCTGCCCCGCAGTGCTTTGCAGGGGACTCTGTTTATACAAGGAAATCCCCCCGACCAACCCTCCACTGTCAACACAACTGGATACAGTGCAAGGCTACCAGGAAAAGCCCTGAGACAGTTCCCTCGGGAAATATTGCTGCAGGAAAGGCTTCCGTCTTCTGGGGAAAACTGCTATTTCCTCCTTGTGAGATGACAGCAGCTACATCACCCATCCTTGAGCTTAAGGCCGGGGTTTGGTTCTACGCCTGAACAGAAGAAAGGGCAGTGGTGAGAATGAGCAATGTGGCCATTGGCCCTGCTGCTGTGCTGAGCTAGGACACAGTTGGTGCTGCCCGGCTGTGGTCACTGGAGAGGGCTTTGTCACTTCGTTCTCTGCATGGATAGAAGCCAAAGGTGTCCTCAGTGACTGAGAAACTCCACACTTCTGGAGATGCCAGCATCAACCAGCTATGTGATTGTGTGTGTAGTGTGAGTGAGGGGCTGGGGACGTGCAGATGTGTATGCAGGTGCGTGTGCGTGCGTGTGTGTGTGTGTGTGCGATGTAAAATGTTCTTGCCTGGATTTGAACACCTCATTTCTCATCAGACCAAGGAAATATCACATCACCTCTTTCTCAGCTTGTCTTGGAGTTCCTATGGCTCCAACCCAGATGTTTTTTTCGTTCTCTAAGAATAACAAAGAGCAGACACTCCTTTCCTGTCTCATACTGAGCCACTGTCTTTAGAGACATTTTTTGGGCCCTGACTTTGTGTCACATACTCCAGGCTAAGCATAGATAGGTTTGCCTGGCTCCTTCAGAATCTGTCCTAGTGAAGGACCAGAAGCTGAGCCAAAAGGCTGCAAGCAAGTCACTGTATTTTTCTGAGGCTCTGTTTCATCACTGGAATAAATAAGTATTCTAAAATTATACCTGTGGTTTAATTTACCGTTATAACTGAGTGATGGCATGGAGGTCATTTCCATTGAAAAAAATTTAATGCTATTCACAGTTCCCCCTAGGAATGGGAAGCACAGCCAGGAGAGCACCCAGCCAAGCTTGGGTCAGAAGGCAAAAAAAGGCCAGGGGAAAGCTCATGCCACACACTTTGTTGGGGTTTCCATGGGAAAGGCAAGGCTGGATGGAATGAGCAGGTTAGGACTGTGTAGTCTGATGAACTCCAGAGGATTTGGGCTAACAGGGTGGCCCCTAGTTACCTCACATCTGGCCCCAGGGTGTTTTAGAGCACAGGAAACATTGGTTTGATATGTGAGAGTATAAGGGGAATGGTTGGCTTGCATTTGAGAGGTAGTGAACTACCAAGTAAGTAGTTCACTACGTTTAAGAACCAGCTAACTCTGCGGGAGGCAATCTCTCCCCAAGTCTGGAGGTCTCCAAAATACCACAGCATCAGAAATACCATAGGACATGAAAAACTAGAGTTAACATAGGTTTTGCTTTGATGAATGAACAGCAAATAGACAAAGAAACAAAGAAAACACGTGAGGATTACAAGGTGGTCACACAAATGTTTTACAGATTAAGGTTCCAAGATGAGGCGCTCCCTTGAAGTGAATTGCCTTTCCTATAGCCAAGTTCTTGGCACAAAGAACACTTACACGTCTAGAAGAGAAGCTGGAGCCTGGGCCTCAGACCACCACGGGACCTCTCCCCATGGCTACCTCTTCTGCTGAGACCCGCGAGAGTCCCACAGCTGTCCTCTGAGCCCATAGCGTGATCTGCTGCTGGTGGCCTGAGCCACGGGGCCTAGGCTAATCTCCTCCTCCTGTTGTCCACCCATTATGCTGCTTTGTCCCCAGGTGGTGGGCGAGTGGAAATTCAGCAGGATCCATTGTGACATCTTCGTCACTCTGGATGTCATGATGTGCACGGCAAGCATCCTGAACCTGTGTGCCATCAGCATCGACAGGTGAGTCCAGCCAGGGTGGGAGAGGGGACCCTGGCACTGGCCTTTCTGTCTGCCCTGCCTCTGCTCAGGGGCAAGCCGTGTCTGTGATGCTATACGACTGGCTCTGCGTGTGTGAGTCCGTGTGCATGTGTGCATGTCCGTATGCATGCGTGTGTATGTGCGTGTGTGTGTTTGGCTAAGACAGTACAAACTCCTGAAAGGGAGGACATCTATGGACTGTGAGGCTCCCCAAAATACCCACATAGTGACGGTTTTGAAAGAGAAAGAACTTGATGCTGAGGAAGCCCTGGATCTATCACTTTCTATGTGCCTGAACTTGTTGCAGTTCTTAGAATTCCCAGTTTCATTTTCTGGGCAGGGATGGTAATGATACCTTTCTCCTGAAACTTCAGAGTTTGATTTTGCATTTCATGTCCAGCACTGGTCACAGCACAGGCTATACTCCCTGAGCTGTATGTGGAGAACCTTTCACTAAATTGCACCAATGTGCCACGCAGGCTCCCTGTGGTACTGGCCCAGCTCCCCTCATAGCATTCATGGAAGATAAGTTAGTGCTTCAGATGCACTGGGTAGAGGAATGTGAGAGAGGATTGTAAAGAGCTGCGTTGTAAATCTTTCCTGCTAAATAGAGCTGACACCTTGCTCTGAGGGGCCTGGTTACCAATCTATCAACAAACACTTTCACCTTCCATGAGCCCATCACAAGTGAGGTGTAATTTAAAAGGTGCAAAGACGCAGGCCATGGCCCCTCAAGAAGCCTAAAGTCCAAGTGGGGAGTTAGAGTCATGGACATGACCCAGAAGTACACTGCAGCTGGCTGGCCTGTGTTTGATGGGGCATCACCAGCCATCCTCAAGGTCTCGTGTGGTGACAGGAGGGAGGGTTGAGAGAGACTATCAGGCAAGCTTCATAGGGGTGATCAGCAGCTCGGTGCCTGGATCAGGGGCGTCTCTTATGTGTGCATTTTGTGGAATGAAGGATCCCTGGGCCTGCACCCCAGACTCAGCCCCCTCTTACAGGTACACAGCTGTAGCCATGCCCATGCTGTACAACACGCGCTACAGCTCCAAGCGCCGGGTCACCGTCATGATTGCCATTGTCTGGGTCCTGTCGTTCACCATCTCCTGTCCACTGCTCTTTGGACTCAATAATACAGGTGAGTCTTGCCTTTGTCTAGGGCTGAAGTGGCTTTGGATCCCTGCTCTTGGGCTGAGAGTCCTGATGGGCCCATTCACCACCCTGGACTGAGGCTGGCCTGGATCTTCTGGGTCCAGCCCAACTCAGAGTTGTTCCAGGTTGGGCTAGAGAGGAAGCAATGGCCTAGGGCATGATAGAGTGGGATGAGGAGTGGTGAACGTGGCTCAGGAGGATGTCTGGCCATTTTCAACTTTATTAAATTGAAGCAGAGAGCTTCACAAAGTGTGCGTGTGTGTGTGTGTGTGTGTGTGTGTGTGTGTGTGTGTGTGTGTGTGTGTGTGTGTACATGAATGTGAGGGAGACTACTGGGTTTCCAATCACCCCTGACAAGTTGTTTTTGTGATAAGGCTTCAGCCTGGTGGGCTGCCTGAGTCTAGGCTGGGTCTGAGCCACCTGGAGCAGGAAAACTAGAGAAAAGTAGGAAGTGAGCCCACCTGTGCCTCTCCCTACAGAAGGCAGCAACAGAGCACCTCTCACAGAAGAGGGACAGAGAACCTGCTAGTGTGTAGCTGCTTCTCATCAGGGAGACAAGAGCCAGACAAGTACACCCCTGGAGACCAGAGCAAGACAGAATTCAGTGAAGCCTAGAAAATTCGTAGTATAAAATCAAAGTGTTACAGGAATTCTAAGAAGTGAGAACAGAACTAAATTCACCCAGGAAAGCCCAAGATAAAGCACAAACATCTGGTAGACCTGGAAGGGACTATGGGAGCGCATAGAACACATTGGAACACAAGTGGGTGCAGCAAACAGGACCAAGTTATCTTGTTCCTAAAGTTAGCAAGTAACAGGACTCCCCTCCCCAGTATACAGGAAAAGCTGGAATAATGAGTTGCTCTTTTGAAAATAACTCTTGTGTCACTTCTTCTGACTTGTGTGTTCAGAGATGATCTAGTAACTAATGATCTAGTAATGATCTAGTAACCTGGTAATGAGAAAATTTGGAAGCAGTCAATTCTGGCTTAGCTTTTTGCTTATAATTGTGGTTTTAATACTCTGATTTACACCTGCACATTAATTTATGACTAACATGTCCAGGCAACCTTAAACCTCTCATCATATTCTCTGTAGGACTGCTCCTCATTCCCACGGAGATAGGTGCTCCCGTGGCACTGTGGCCCAGGGGGCCAGCTGATGCCCTGCCCACCTCGGGCTCTCTTTTCCTCAGACCAGAATGAGTGCATCATCGCCAACCCTGCCTTTGTGGTCTATTCCTCCATTGTGTCCTTCTACGTGCCCTTCATCGTCACCCTGCTGGTCTACATCAAGATCTACATTGTGCTCCGCAAACGCCGCAAGCGGGTCAACACCAAGCGCAGCAGCCGAGCTTTCCGGGCCAACCTGAGGGCCCCACTCAAGGTCTAAGACCCTCCCTCCCCTCCAAGTGTCCCTGCCTAAGCAGCCCCAAGGCACTTTGTCCCTTGCTCAGGTGGGGACCTGGGAACCACAGCGAGGTTGCTGTCCAGGCTAGAGAAGTGCCCAGCAGACAGATGAGGGTGTTGGTCTCTGTGGAGGGATTTGAATGTCCAGGAGTGGGAGGTGGCAGCCACGGTGGCACCAATTGGACAAAGAAGCCTGCCCAGAGCTCTTTGTGACTGAGCGCAGCTGTTCCAGCTTGGCATCTTCCTGGTGTGCTCTCTTCCTCTTTGCTTAGCTCCTCCTTTCTACTCTCTGCCTCCTTCCCTCCTGTCTCCTCCATCCCATTTTCTTCACCTGCTGCACTCTCTGTCCTGCTCACCTCCTGTATCCTTATCACTTCTTCTTTCCTACTTTTCTATTCTGTTCTCTCAGCTCCTTGCTCTTCTGTCTTGTGAATTCTCCCCTCTTTTCAGCCTTATCTGAAAAGACAGTATGTGGGCATGGGAGGAGTGAAAGCTTCCAGGTTACACATATCAGGTTCAAATCCTGGCTCCGCCCCGTTTTGGCTGAGTGACCATGGGCAAATTGCTTAACTTCTGTGAGCCTCCGTTTCCTCATCTGTTAAATGGACTTCGAAGGGTAGTCTTGAAGATTCATCATGAGAAGGGATGTGCGTGTGCCTAAGAGGGTGCTGGGCCCTAAGTTCTCCAGAAAAATCAGGGTCCTTTTGTCCCTCATCCTGCTGACTTCCTCTCATCGCAGCAGGATGAGAGTGGCCCCACTCTCCTGATCTCTGAACCCCATTCTGAGTCTGAGATCTCCATAAAGCCTTGGGTTCCTGTCTCCCTGTGCCCAGTCCCCTCACTGTCTCGTGTGACCCATGTGCTGGCTCACTTCACAGGGCAACTGTACTCACCCTGAGGACATGAAACTCTGCACCGTTATCATGAAGTCTAATGGGAGTTTCCCAGTGAACAGGCGGAGAATGGTAAGTGTTCAGGTCAGGAACCCATAGCCAAGTTTTCTGTCCTTGGGGAGCCTACCAGCCATGACTCTGAACCCTCTCCAGCTGGCCAAAGACAGAAACACCTCCCAGCATCCCCTGCACTGCCTCAGTGAAGGGCAGGCTCACCATTCACACTGCCAAGCAGGTGTCGAGCAGGACCTGCATGGCTCAGGTTCATAGAAAATTATTGGGAAGAGGGACTTGGCCATAAAAACATAATAAAAGTGGTGAGAATGGCTATCACCCCTTCTTGCATACCTAGTGAGTTCCTGTTATCTCCTCAAATCTTCAGCACGACCCTGGAAAGTAAGTCCAATTGATTTTATCAATCTTCACTCACAAAGGAGGAAACAGAGGTTCAGAGAGCTTAGGTAACTTCCCCACATCTAAACAGTGACAGCACATATTGGAACCTAGATCTCTGTAACTTTTAAGTCCACACCCATGCTCTTTCCACTGACATGCGCTGCCATATAGACGGGCAGGTTCTGGGACTGGAGGCTGGTAGCTGAGGAAGGTTTCAGCAGAGCAGCCCTGGGGCTGCTGGTGAAACGCAACCTGGAAATAGGGCCCACAGGTGCAAATCAGAGCATAGCCTTAGCGCTGAGGTCCAAGCAGCAGGTTCCCCTCCTCCCACAACTGGCAGAGAATAGGTCAGAGAACCCACAGAGGGCCACATGCAAAGTCCAGGTCAGATGTCCTTGGGAAGCAGAGTCCCCATCTCTCACCTGCACTCCAAAGGCATCACTTTAAGAGCTGTTTATGATGCAGGTACCAAAACAGGGACCCAGGATGGGGTCAAGGCAGCAACTCAGTTATACCAGCTGGGCACATAGACTGGCTGCATTTTAGAAGCTGGAGCTAAGACCTCTAAGGCTTCCAACAGGACAGCCTAAGGAAGCACTGGGAGACTGTGAGTGGATCCATACCAGGCCCTCCTGGTCAGCCCAGCAGGGAAGATGTGGGCCCCAGGGACCAGCTGTTCAGCACCTGGGTCAGTCTAGTTTGCACGTTGGTGCAGGTGCCCATGAAGCAGAGCTCTGGGCCTGCAATTCAGCCTAGCAGGAGGGACAAGGGTGGGTGTTCTCTAGACAGTTAGAGCATGAGTTTTTGGAAGCAGGACTGAACATCATTCAGGGATTTATCCGCAGCAGTCAGCTTGGCACCTGACGCTTAGGCAGCACTCAGGAAGTGTTGCTCAGGCAACAAAAGAGAAACCCTCAGAAAATGGTTTGGGGTATTGAGACTGCAAAAGGATTGCTCTGGGAAGTGGGCTGTAGATCCAGACAGCCCCTGCCTCGTAGGGCTAGCTCTTCTCTCTCTCCTGGCAGAGTGACCCTGTGTGTGCACAGGGAGGGTGGGGAGCAGAAGAGCACAGGAGCCTGGGTGGCTGCTGCCCAAGACCATGCCTGGCTTCACCCAGAGCTCTCTGCTTATGGTGCAGGAGGCTGCCCGCCGAGCCCAGGAGCTGGAGATGGAGATTGTCTCCAGCACCAGCCCTCCCGAGAGGACCCGGTACAGCCCTATCCCGCCCAGCCACCACCAGCTGACTCTCCCTGCCCAGTCCCACCATGGCCTCCACAGCACTCCCGACAGCCCCGCCAAGCCAGAGAAGAATGGGCATGCCAAAGACCACCCCAAGATTGCCAAGATCTTTGAGATCCAGTCCATGCCCAATGGCAAAACCCGGACCTCGCTCAAGACCATGAGCCGTAGGAAGCTCTCCCAGCAGAAGGAGAAGAAAGCCACTCAGATGCTCGCCATTGTTCTCGGTGAGTCAGCTCTGGCCGGGGGCAGGTCCATCACTGGAAGCCCCAGTCCCTGCCAACCCTTGCTGACCTTGGTTGGTATATCATGGGTTCAGAACAAGGCCATGCTCACTGATAGGCAGACAAGCTCTGAGGCAGATTCTATAACTGTGCTCTTACAGATGGGCAAGCTGAGGTTTCACATGGTTATATAGCTTGACCAAGAAAGACTCATGATTTGAACTCAAGCAGTCTGACTCCAGCGTCTGTGGGCTTGACCAGCCTACCACAGTGCGCCCAAGCCTTGTATCCTCAGCCAGGTCACTTGGTAGCTCTGAGCCCCCTGTCTGTAGACTAGATAACCTCTCAGGACTGTTGTCATGATCAGACAGCATAGATTCAGTGAGAGTATTTTTAAAATCTGGAAAGTAGTACATATACCTAAGTGTAATCATTATGTTTTTAGCTATTGCCGTTTTGTAGAACTGGTACATAAACACACTCAACCACAACCACATCTCTATGGAACAAGAGCTGTGAAAATAGGGTGGGATGGCTCTGATATAAAGGAGTGTGTGGCCCTGTCCACTAGGCAGAACTTTTCAATGAAGTTCTCCTAGAAATCCATATAATAAAGGTCACAAACTAAGAGGATGGTTGAGGAAGGGGCGACCAATGGGAGTGTGCCTTCTGTGTAACACCTGAGGTGTTCTCTAATAGCCCAGAAATCCTGGGATGTGAGTAGACAAGCACCTCTGTCCTCTTTTTATGCACAAGAGCATGCTGTCCCAGCAGGCCAAGGGGCTACCCAGCATTACATGACTGGTATGTGGCAAGGCCGTATTGGAGCAGGGTATTCTGCTACAGCAGTCCACAGAGGCTATGCTCCAGGGACCTGCTATTCAATCTTGGCGTATTCATCATCTGCTCTTCCCAGACACTACAGTGTCCCTGAGAATGCTCCCTATGTGTCCATGCAGAGTATCCCACTGGAGCAGCTGTTCTGGGGAAAGCACACCCCAGTCAGACAGCAGGGCAGGTGGGAAGTCTGTCTGAGTGAGAGACTGCTATCCAGGCTGGACTAGCAAACATGCAGCCTTTAAGGTGGGAGGTGGGGTGGGGGAGTCTGGAGCAAGGGCATGGCTCTTTGGGGGCCTGGATAGAGTGGGGCTCACAGAGCTGTGCTGCTTAAGACTAGAATGATCTAGGGTACATCACAGAGCAATCACGATACTCAGTTTCCCGTTAACCTCATGCAAACGCTGTGAGAACTAAGTGAGATAGGTATTTAACACTCCCTTTTCCCAAACTATGTGTTCTGTACTGCCATGAACAATGACCATTTCCTCCACTGCTGGCTTGGGAGAGACATTGTTCTCAAGGCTGCTGGGAAGTACACTAGGTATTTCCATGTTCCCTGGCTGCCTCGGGTCAGAATGCTAACGTAAGGGCTGGTTTTTAAACCGCTTTTCCTTCCCTAGCAGGCGGTTGTTATCCTATCCATTGGACAGGTAAGAAAAATGAGGCTGGGGAGGCGAAGGGACCCTTCCTAATAGATGAGTGTCAGAGGCAGCCCGCAGCACTGGTGCCTGCAGCACACAAACCGGGGGTCCATCCGGTGGGACAGGGCACACCCAGCCCAGCCTCTCCGTGGCTTGGAGGCCGCCCTGACCCTGCCTCTCCCCCAGGCGTATTCATCATCTGCTGGCTGCCCTTCTTCATCACGCACATCCTCAACATACACTGTGACTGCAACATCCCGCCAGTCCTGTACAGCGCCTTCACGTGGCTGGGCTACGTCAACAGCGCCGTGAACCCCATCATCTACACGACCTTCAATATCGAGTTCCGCAAGGCCTTCCTGAAGATTCTACACTGCTGACTCTGCCGCCTGCCTGCGCAGCAGCCGCCTCCCACCTCCGGGCCCAGGCTCTCTGGGCCTCGTCCTTGCGAGCTATACGCAGAAAGGCCCTGAGGGACGGGGCCTTCTCTTCACCCTGCAGGCCTGGCTGTGTTTACCTGGCTCTGTGCCCCTCTGCCCACACACCCCCTTTCTGCCAGGGCAAGGCAGAGCCGGGTATGGTACCAGCCCTGGGACAGGACCTACGGCTCAGAGCAGCTCACAGAGTCTCCCTCCCACCTCCAGGCCCTCTCTCCTTGGCACCAAAGATGTAGCCGCCCTCCTTGACCTTTCTCTGGGGCAGCGGGGTCTCTGGAGTTACTAGGACCAGAGTCAAGGCTAAATGGGCAAGCACACTTTATTGGGTTTCCCCTGGCTTTTGTGGGCCTGTGCTGGAGTAGGAGGGATGGTTCTCACCCTACAAAGCTCACAGGGGGCAGGCCTGGAAAACTTCAGCCCTGGGAGAGCCATGGAAATACCAGATAGCACATGGACCCCAGAGGAGGCCAAGCCAAAAGTCTGAGCTCCCTCCCAACTGGAAGTGAGCCCTACCTTCCTCCGCTCTGGCTCTGACTCACCCCACTCTGTTATAGCGCCCATACAGTTCTACACCTTCAGAGGGAGGAACCCTGATCTCCAAGGGCCCTGAGGGGGTCTGTGGAGAGAGAAACTCCAGCGCCCACCCCCCTCGGCCACTTCTCTTCTGTTCCCTATGCTGGCCAGCCTGGAAAGTCAAGTATTGGACCCACATCTGGGCCTGACTTGGGGGACTTTGGAGGTTCTTTGAGAGTCCACCTCCTGCCACATCTGACATAAAGTCTCTCCCTTTGTTTTTCTTCTGGCTTCTTCTCTCTCCCCTTGTCTTTCCCTTCCCATGCCTCTGCCTTAGAAGAGCCCATGGCTAAGGGGCTGCTGAGTGCCCTCTGGCCTGGCCGGGCCCTGCTCTGAGGGAGGAGGGGAAGCTGCAGCTTGGAGGGGCCCCTAGGCCCCAGACTCTGTAACATCACCATAAATGCACCAAAAGAATAAAACTTTGACAAATAACTCTCAAAGGGCCCTGGGTGGCCTGGAGCAGTCCCAGCACCTTCCTTAACACTCAGAGAGATCCAAAACTCCTGCGTGAGGGCAGGTCCTTCTAGAGGGAAGCCAAATGTTCCCACCTCTCCAGGCCTGGTGTCTCTGAAAGTTGGCCCTTCCTTTGGCCCCTTCTCCACCAGGGCAGAGAAGGCTCTCTGGAAAAGGAGGCCTTGGAGGTGCCGGCCTTGCCTGTGTGTCTCTCTGTCTTTCATCCTGTCTGTGTTTCATGTCATGATCTCCAGCTCTGGGACAGGTTGCAGAGAGCAGACAGGCACAAGTACTGTGGCCTGCACATCTCTTTCATCTTGCTTCAGGCCTGTCCACAGCTCCAAGTTTTCTGGGGCTACAACTCAACTTTGCCCCGACAACAGCTTTAAAAACTGAAATATAAAGCCACCAGTGGGAGAGGAATGTTCTCACCACCTTGCCAATAACAGTGGTGATGACAAACAAGGTGGTGGCACCCACGGGCTCAGGCTCTGGGGAGCTGTCAGGGCATAATTTGCATGCTAAATACAATATTTTTAGCACCAAGGTTTGGAGCACTTAACTTGCCCTGAACACTTAATTATGGACTTTGATCTTATCTTTGAACTTGAATGTATTGCCAAGCCTAGGAGAGTTCCTGTCCCCAGGAGCACCCTGATTTTAGAGGTGGGATATAAGAAGACCTCTTATGTAGCTCAGGGCAGCCAATAATAGTGACCTCCTCCTAGAAGGCACTGGGGCCCCGCTGGGTTCAGAAACGTTAAGGACCTCAGCAATTGACGTTCGCTCACAACCAGCCAGCCAGCACACGCACTGTGTTCTCAGTCTATGGATGATCCTGACCTGGATGGAGCTTACACAGTCATTCTACCATTAGAAACCCAAGAGGGCATGCAAGTGTATAGCGGTGAGAACTGGAAGAGATGACAAAGAGAGGCAGAGAAAGAGAGGAAGGAAGGACCCAGAGCAGGAGGCGAAGCAAGACCCAGAGCAATCTGAGAGGAGCCCTGTCAGAGAGAAGAGGGGAAGAGGGCAGGGCAGGGGCGGGAGGCGGGGCAGGAGAAAGGTGCCCACAGTTGTCACGAGGCTTCAATTCTTTTTTTCCAGACAGCAGATTGACAGCTGGAGTGGGCAGGGGGAGGGCTGGGTTCCGCCCCCTCCCCCCTCAGCTCTTCAGGGGCAAAGGAATGGGAGGAATGGGACCCAAGAGCACAGAGGTAGAAGAAGTTCCCTTCCCGGGTTCCTCTGGGTGGAGGAGCGACCCAGGCTCTGGCTCCGTCCATGGAGGCCGTGTCCCTGACCCCCTTCTTTTGGCAGTGAGGACACCTCCAAATTTCCCCTCCTCACTGCTGCTGCTGTGTTCTGTGCCTGTACCTCTGTAAGATGCCTTTTAATCTGAGAAGTGCACATTTGCCTTTACAGCTGGTGGAGTCTGCAGCACGCTCCTGCCCTCCCTCACCCAGAGAACAGCACAGGGTCACCGCCTAGGGCCAGGCGTGCCCGGGGCCCTTGCATAGCCATCTCAGGTGGGAAACTGAGTCACGCAGTTACAAAGGAGCAGATCCAGCTGGGGTTGCCCGTTCACAAGGCTTCTGGCCCTTATTCTTCCCTGGGTGAGTTTGAAGGAGTGCCAGGTGACCATGTGCTAGGGAGAGGTCCTGGGAACTGAGAGGGTGAAAGGTTCATTGTTTCATCCCTTCCTCTACCCACTTGGCGTCTCCCTTGGTGAATATTTATTGAGTAGTTCTTATACTTTAGGTCTGTGGTGAAGGGCTGGGGATAAAACAGTGAAGAAGGTGGTCATGATCCTGCCCTCCTGGGCTCACAGTCTGATGGGATGACAGACGCAATAGTCATACAATAATGTACACATTCCACTCCCCACCCCAAGGAGAGCTCTGGCTGGGTGTGAAGACCACCATCAGGACCCCGGGGAGGGCAACACAGCACAGGAAGTGCCACACCGCTCCAGCACACTGTTTTCCTGATGGTGTGAGAGTTGGCAGCCCTGGGGGGCCTAGGCTGTGAAGCAGGTGGAGAACTGGCAGAGGCAAGAAGAAAACTGCAGCAGGGAGCACTTCCTAGGTGGCTGGACAAGGTGGCCCTAGAAGAAACAACTGTAGATCCTGCTTCCCAGGGAGTCTCAGAACAGGGGCAGCCATGGACCTACAACCAGGAGCACTGAAAGCTGGTCTGCCTTGGGCAGTTCTAGTGCCTCCATCTAGCTGGGGACCACTTGGTCCCCAGAGGCTGCATGACTGTCTTTCCCTGCCACCAGCTGTCCTCATGCCCGCTGGCTTACTGACATCCAGGTCCCAAGACCTGGCTCTGGCTCACATCCGTGCAGGGGCCACTGCGGGCTTAGCCCTCCCTGATTGTGTTCCCCGTTTCTATCCCCCCGGCAGCATGCTGAGCCTGTACCTCAGAACAGAAGCCTCTCATCTGAGGTGTGTGGTTTGCTCATGCGGCAAGGCTGACCTCATGCCGGGCTCCTCCTGCTGTACTCCAGTCCAGCTTCCTGACCTACCCTTAACGCAGCTGGAAGAGGCTGGTGCAATCAGAAGTTTTACTGTTTAGAATCAGAGAGAGAGAAAAACAAAACTGTTTGGGGTTAGCTAGGACACCCACGGCGTCTGCGATTCTCTGACAAGGTTACCTCCAAACACTGTCCTATTGCTCCCAGGAATGCATAGTGTACTTGAAGACAGCCATGTGGAGGCCAGACTGAGCTGTCTCCAAGGCAGAAAAAAGGATAGGGTGGACAAGAGAGGAAGGCAGTTGCCCTGGAAGAGACAAGTTCCACTGTCCAGTGTCAGTAAGTGCTACCCTGGAGCCCAGAGTCAGGATAGGTAACCTGATCCCACCCCTATTGTCCTGTTAATCTTCAAGTCACACCTTCCTCTGTCTTTCCGTTGCTGTACACATTTACCTTCCCTTTTCTACCTCCTTCGCCTGCCTGAAAGCAGAGAGGGGTCTAAGGAAGCAGCTCATCAGCCTCATCCTACTCTACCTCGGTGGACGCAAGCAAGTCGCCTTTGCTTTGCTTACACCAAGCCCCCTGCCTGGCTTTGGAGGCTCCTGGAAATACAATCTGTGGGTCATTCTCACTGCTGGCTCTCAGCAGGCAAGACTGGCTGGTGGGGGTTGCCTTTACCCTGTAACTGACCCCACGCTGTTTTGTAAGTCCCAAGGTCACAGCCCACTGCAAGGCACTGAAGGAAAGTCTTCCTTTCCTTCTTAGAATTTACTGGTAAAGGGAATTAGGCAGCTGCTTTCCAGGGCATCCTCCCCTACAGGCTCACAGAGGTTGGACTATCTCTGACTTAACCCAGAGAAACACTCCTCTAATGCAGGAAAAACTTCAAGAAACTAATAGGTTGGGTCCTTACTGTCTTGCACTTTGGCTGATTTGGCACCAGATTTAACTATTACAGTAACCCAGGGGGAGATAAGCATTATTGCTCGATGAAGTGACCAGGCTAAAAAATTTCAGCAACTTGAGGAAATGCACCCAGTGGGTGGCTCCGTCAGGATTCATGCTGAGGTCTCCCCTCCAAGGCCACCGGTCTGGCCTTCCCTCCTCTGCCTCAGCCCCACCTAGTTCCTACTTTCTGTCCCTTACATTGCAGCACAGCCAAAGCCCTACTGCCCACAGTCAATTCAGCAAGCATGAGAGGAGCCTGCTTCATGTCTGTGTACCGACCCTAAGAAAGGACTGGGGAGGGTACAAAAACAAGCAGGACATGGTAAGGTGGTTTGCACTGAGCAAAAAGGCAGAACAGAGAGCTGCTCTCTCAACCTCACTGCAGGGGGTGTTGCTGGGACAGTGCCCTTGGGTTGAGGGAGGGGTGCGTCTCCAGCAGTGCAGGCAGAAAAGAGTCCATGAGCAGGGACAGGTAAGTGGGATCTTGCAGAATAGGTGGGTCTCCAACAGGCACTGGTGGGAGAAGACCAGTGTGATGGGAGAAGGCCATGTGGGCCTTGGACTGGTGAGTATGATGAGAGGACTAGCCATAGGGGCAGAGAATGCAAGTCTCAGACCAGTGCCCTAACTGATTAAAGAACCCTAACAAAGTGGAACGGATAGGGCCAGGGATATAACATAGCACCTGCTCGGCAAGTGCAAGGTCCCAAGTTAAATTCCCAGTACCCTACCCACCAAAAAGTGGAAGGGGTGTTTTATGAGGGGTGGGCAGAGAAGGAATGTTCCTAAGCAAGATGATCAGAACTGCCATCTGTGTGTTCAGATGGTACCTTTTTCTCTGCCTGGACCCTCCCTTGACCTCCACTGCCCTCCTTTCTTCCTGCCAGGAGCCCAGAGACCTGCTTTCTCCCTTTTCACCCTCATCCCATGTCATCTTCCCCCCGGAGCTTGGAGGGGGCCACACTTTCCTCATTTGCTCAGTGCTTCTAGGTTGTATCCATTGGCCTTTCCAGTCCTCAGGAGTTTTCTACTGATTGCTGTGAGCCTACCTTTCTTCTGAGATGGTCACACATTCACCTTTGGACTTCTGCCCTGCCCTTGAACTCTTGTAGCTAAGGTGCCTTGCTTCTTCTGGTTTCCTGACTCCCCACCGATTCCTTCTCCCAGCACAAGAAACTACCCAGGCAGCACAGCCTGGGCTCCTTTCATTTCTGGGGACAGACAAGCTAGATGATGCCATCTCTCAGGGTCCAGGAGAACCCCGGAGGGGACTGGATTAGTTCGAGCAAGGTTTAGGATGGAAGAAGAGGCTGTTGTCTGGGAAGAGGGTAAGGAATGAGGAATGAATAGTATAATGTCAATGAGGCAAGGCAGGAATAGAAAAGTAGAAGAGCCGCAAAATAACAATGAGTCTCAGCGAGTGCTGGGCTGTGATATTCCAATTGCATCCTTCCAATGGTAAATCTGTTACAAACATGGAGGCTGAAGCTCAGAAAGTTTAAGGAATGTCTACAGTTAGTAAAGGGCAGAATCAAGACCCCAGTCTAGGTCTGGCTGACCAGCTCTCCATCCTCTGTCACAGGCCAGGATCCCAGACTCCCACCACAGAGCCCAACTGCACCCTGCGCTCAGCATGAGCCTGTAGCATGCATGGTACATCCCAGCTATATCCACCCTCAGCAGAGGTGCAAGGTGACAGCAGCTCCCTTCTGCCTCTCACACTGAGCCCAAGTTCCTGAGTCATGATGGGCACCAAGGTCCCCCACCGAGAGCCCACCCTCCCCACCCACTCTAAACAGGACTGTCCCTCCCTACAAGCAGCTGTTTCTCTACCACATTCTCCAGCCAGTTAGTCTCTCCCTGTTTCCAACCTGGCCAGGCTTTCCCCATCCTCTGCTCCATCCTTTTCACACACTTGAACATTCACATCTTCCAGGAGGCCCTTTCTGATCAAGTCCACCTGGCTTGAAAACTGCTGCAGGAGGGGATGCGGGGGAAGGTTATAGATGCCCTGTCCACTGTCCACATGTGGCTACTTAAATTTATTGATATTAAAAATTTGATTCCCCAGGCACACTCACCACATTCAAGTGCTCAATACCCAAATATTAGTGCAGATAAAGCAAGCTAGGAGGCCTTCTCCTATAAAGTCCTGTTGGACATCGCTGGTCTAGAATGACTCTCAAGTTTTGGGTACCTTCAGCTCACATGAGAGCAATGAGCAAGCTTATGGAGGGGGAAAAGAGTGTTCAAGTTGGGACAGTTTGAGTTTAAAGATTCCATAGCCCTGCTAAGTAGAGAGGTCCAATAAGAAATTGGGACATTCAATTTCTAATACCTTATACCTAAGCTCTCCAAACAGTGCTGGAAAGTCCTTGTAGAGACTCTCTCCTCAGGACTATCAAGGGCTTCTCTAAAATCCAGTTGTGAAGTTCTAGAAGACAGTGGTGCTGAGCTGGGACTCAAGGCAGATGCTGTGTGTGTTGTGTCTGGCTAGGGAGAGTTGAGGGAGAAGGTGCTCCCAGGCAATGAGAGCACCTGCTTGCCAGGGCTGCCTTGATACTATCACTTCTGCTATGAATTAGAGGAAGTGGATAAAGGAAGCAGGATCTGAGGACCCCAGCCGAGTCTCAGAACCATCCGAGGTGAAATGACTCCCAGGGACTATCCTGTCCATATCTCCATGGGACAATGGGTGCCAAAGAATCATCTACCTTTTCTAAAGCCTTTCTTTAAAGTCCTTCCTCAAACTCTTCCCAACAAGATAAGCCAAACATCCTTCCCTGTGCCCTGTCCTCACCGTTTCTGCTTATTCATCTGTGCAGAACTGGCTGTGAATATGTAGCCCCAGCTCTCTTCTCTGGCTCCCCTAGGATCCTAGACTTGGGGCCAGAGCCAGATTGCAGGACACAGGAAGATGTAAATAGCCTCGTGCACTCCTTCCGTCTTCCTCCTGCTCTGCTTGTTCTGGGAAAGTCAGGCATCCTAGAGGTGTTTTTAACTACAAGTTTTGCTTAAGGTTTAGTTTCAGGAAGAACCAAGAGATTGGGGCCGGCAACTAGCAGGGAGTAAGAGAATTGTACAGTCTGCTTATGTGTCCCCTAGTCCTCAGGAGTCCCTGCTCAACCACTAAGCCTTCCCCACCCTGCGTGGGGCAGGCCAACAACTCTATGGTTCTACTGAGGAAGGCCGCAGTGAGAAACCGCGGAATGCCCCCTACTGGTAGATCTCAACCCTGGCTGTTCAGAATCACCTGGGAATTTTGCATGGTGTTCACACCAGGATTCTAACCAGGATTTTCTGGTTTAACTGGTTGAAGGTAGGGCCAGGTTTAAGTGTATTTTAAAAGCTCCTCACAACTGGGCATGGTTGCACATGCCTGTAATCCCAGCATTCCAGAGAGCTGAGGCAGAACTGCAAATTTTAGTTTGGCCTTGGCAATTTAGAGACCTAGCAAGACCCTGAAGGGCTGGGGACATAGCTCTGTGTGAAAACCCCGGTTCGATCCCCAGTACAAAAAAAGAAAAACAACAAGCCCCTCACCGTGAGATTTTCATGTGCAAGCTTCACTTATAGCTGACACTAGAGGACATAGCCCAGCTCAGAGAAGCTTCTAGGTCTGGCTTTTCTGAGGCAGCTATAGGCTACAGCTAAGGTAAAGTGTCCAGAGCCCAACAAGCTGGAGCCACAGGATGGAGCACTGCTCAAAGGGACTCATGCACTGGACAGGGTTGTGTGTGCTGCTGCCTTGTCTCTCCCACCTCTGCTAAGACCATAATACTGACTGTGGACCCCGTGGCCAGAGGAGTGACACAAAGGGATGTTGTCACTTGGCTCAGGGGTTGAGACTGGCTGGAAGTTGGGGCATAAATTCCCTTTCTCTGAGAGTTACAAAACATTCTTGAGCTGGAGAGGCCACTTCTGCTGTGCAGTGTGGGAGGCACAGCGGAGCAGCAAAGGACCCTGGGGCACCTGTTCTGTCCTTTGCCTCTCAAGGGCTGCTGAGCCAGGGCCCTCACCACACACAAAGTCAGCATGAGCTTTACCAGGTTTGCTCCTACTACCCCCAACCAGCTCACAAGGGGCCAGGCTGTGGTCATGGGTGAGCCAGCTCTGAGAGTGACTGCTAAGGAGAAAAGTCACTGCCCAACCGGCTCCACATCAAAGCCAGACAACCCATGCTCACCAACGCAACACCTTCAGCTGCCCCTGCTTCCTTCCTTCACATACACTCACATATGAATTACACACATGCATGTATCATACACATACACTTGCCAACTCTCCTCAGGTGCCCTTCCTGGGCTCACGTACTATATAGTCCACATATATGCAATATGCCAGATCTCTCTCTCTCTCTCTCTCTCTCTTTCTCTTTCTCTCTCTCTCACACACACACACACACACACACACACACACACACACGCCATACTACTGGCCCATATATATACCCAGTTCCACAGTCAATCCATCTCTAATGCAGAGATTCAGATCCACAGCTTTATTGACTTCAGCATTTGAAATCAGCCATACTTCTGGGCACAAAGAAGGTTGCAGATGTGGGGCCAGGAACCAGGAAACTGGTGTCCCGCATAGGATAGCTCATCCACATAGGAGCATCCATTCTTCATCCCCAGGAGACCATGTAGGAGACAAGGGTGGGCCATTCGGAAGCTGTGGTCATTGTGGCGACAGGCTGGCTGAGGCTTTAAGTAGGGAGCAGGCAGCTCCTCTGAACTCTGAGCCCCGGCCTCCCGGACAAAGTGAGTGAGTCTGGCTGTCCTGCCCCAGTCTGAGGGGAGGGCCAGCAACTAAGACACAAGCTGGAAAGAACCCACTTCCCTCATCCCTAGGCCTGCCTTTGTCTCCAGAGGGGCTTCCCAGGATGCAAAGACCCCATGAACTCAGAGGCAACGGACAAAAGCTGGCCAGAATCTTGGGGCTGGAAAAAGAGCTTGGATCCATGTAAAGCAGGAGGAAGAGGCCAGGGGTCTGTTGGAGGCAACTTGGAGGAGGAGCTGGAAGCAGCTGTCCAAGCCAAGCACCCATCTCCAAGCTACAAGCTCAGTGGTATCTCTCCCGGTCCCTATCACCCGGGACACCAAGTTCCTCTTTCCTCTCAAGGTCAAAAGAGCAGGAGGGAAGAAGTCCGTTCAGAAGCCAAGTTTCACTTCCATCAACCCCTCCTTTTTCAAGCAAGGTAGTGCCTAAACTTCTGTCTGGGCTCCTGGCCCAAAACTACCCAGAATGGCCAGTGAGGGCTCCTTGCCCTCAAGGAAGGCCATGATGCTCTGCCTTTGACTCCGGAGGGCCAGTTGCAGTGGAGTGCAGCCCACCTCGTCCTGGATGTCCAGCTGGGCACCAGCCCTGACCAGCACTTTGAGGATGGCTGTGTCCCCCTTGAGGGCAGCCAGATGGGCAGGTGTCCAGCCCACCTTGTTACGTGCGTGCACATCTGCGCCGTGGTCCAGGAGGTTGATGACGCTCAGGAAGGCACCCCTCTGGACTGCCAGGTGGAGGGGCGTCCAGCCCGCCTGCTCAGCAGCACTCGGGGGAGCCCCACACTGCAGCAGTGCCAGCAACACCGTCTCATCCCCATGACGGGCAGCCAGGTGTAGGGGGGTCCAGTTCATACTTCCAAGAGCACCCACATCTGCATGGCTCTCAACCAGCAGGTGGATGACCTCCAGGTGGCCTTTGTAGGTTGCTAGATGCAGGGATGTCCAGCCCTGCTGAGTGGGCAGCTCCAGGCTGGCCCCATATCTGAGAAGCATCTTGCAGATGAGGTGCTTGCCCCTGGCAGCAGCAATATGCAGTGGGCTATAGCCACTCTGGTCAAGGGCGTCAGGGGCCGCCCCACTCTTCAGCAGGTACTGGATGGCCCGCACTTTGCCCCGCTCCACTGCCAGATGCAGTGGTGTCCTCAGGTTTTTCTGTCGAGCATCCAGCTCAGCCCCCTGGCTGGTCAGCAGCTTGACCAGGCTGATGTGGCCAAAATAGGCAGCCACATGGAGTGGGGTCTTACCCTCACCTTCACACAGGTTAGGGTCAGCGTGACGGGAGACCAGAAGCCGTGCCACATTCTCAAAGTTGTTCTGTGCAGCCAGGTGAAGTGGGGCCCAGCCTTCATGCTCCTGGGCATTCACAAGGGCCCCATGGTCCAGGAGCAGGCGGGCAGTGCGGTCATCCCCATTCTGGGCTGCAAAGTGCAGTGGGGCCCAGTCGTCCTCATCCACCAGGTTAGCGTCAGCACCGTGTGTCAGGAGCACAGCACAGAGCTCAGGCTGCTGGTCCTGGGCAGCGATGAGGAGAGGTGTGTAGCCAGAGGCTGTCTGGCAGTCCACGTCAACCTCATGGGTCAGCAGCAGCCTCACTTGCTCCACACTGCCCTGGGCCGCCAGGAAGTGGAGGGGTGTGACTTTGTTCTCGTAGACGCGCAGCTCTTCATCACTGGGGACCAAGCTCTCACTGTCAGAAAGTTGCAAAACCTGCTTCAGATAGTCTCCAGAATCTGCTGGGAAGAAGTTAGGTTAGAAAAAAGAGATCCATGACCTGTCCCTAGGTCATCATGGCCACCTCCCTGCCTCATCCAGGAACAGAGACGAGAGAGGTGACAGTAAGGCCTTTCCTGGTATTGAAGGGCTCTCCACATTTGTTACCACCACTGTAGGAGTTCGGGCCTCATTGTCTTTGAGTCTGAGGGTTTTCCTGCACAGATGTGGTGCAAACAACTGGGCTCACGAGACCCAGGTCCAAATCCTTACTCCCCCTGAAGCCCTGACTTCAGCCAGTTCTCTGCCTCTTTAAGCTTCCACGTCAGGCTGGGTAAAGGGGAGACCAACAGTTGTCATCTCATCACACTAGTGTGAAGACAATGCAGGCAGGTTAAATCTTTCAGGGGAGGGCCAGAGGGGGGTAAGTCCACACAAATTGGAAGTACATTTGTGGTTGGAACTATAATCTAAACTCCCCATGAGGTCTTCAGGACTTACTTTCTACTATGCTACCCAGTGGCCTATCAGAATTAAAAATTACGAGAGTGATCATGGCCCAGGCCCACTTCCTATAGATTTTGATTTTATTTGTCTAGAGTGGGGCCTGGGCATCCATTTTTGCTTGTTTTGTTTTTAATTTGCCAAGTAATTCTAATGTGTTGCCCACATTAAGAGCCAATGCTCCACCTCTTGGGTCAGAGTGGAGCAGTCAGGTTTTGCTAAGACACAGAACTGAAAAAAAAAAAAAAAACAGAACCAAGACCTTCAGTACAAGCATGTTTCTGGACCTCTTATGTGGTTGCTAGGAACGGCCCCACAACCTTGGGTGTATGGCAGGCCTGGGGAGGAGGAGAGAGCCTGGGGACAGGTGTGACTGGATCCTTCTTGTGGGTTCTCTGGTTCCATAGCAGTACCGTGGGCTTACCACTGTCCGTTAGCTCCTGGCTGGCTTCTGAACTGACCTGGGAAGGCAGAATCAGTAGAGACAGGTACATCAGCAACGCACAGCTCCCTGTCCTCCTGCAGGACTCACATCCTGCCCCAACCTGAAGACTCTCTGCCTACACCACTGCTTCCCCAGCTGTGCCTAGAGGGAAGAATGGGCAGTGGAGACCTGGGCAGACCAAGATGGCCCAAGGTTTGGGCTTTCCTTGGGGCCACATGGCTGCAGGGGTGATCTGTGGGTTCATTTAGGAGCCCCCTTTAGCCTCTGGCTAGCTTCAGTGTCAGAGTAAGGACAGGAGAGCAGAAAGATGATGGTGACACCCACAGTGTGACAGTTTAGGAGAGCCAAGGCCTCCCTCTGCAGGACCTGAGGCTGCACCCACCTCCTGGGGCTGGTGGCGTAGAGATGGTTTACAGGACACCTTCCTGGCCAGGGCCTCGACCTCAGGGTCTGCCACAGGACTCTGGAGCAAGGACAGCAGCATGTCTGTCTCAACTGTGATGTCTGCTCCACAGAAGAGAGGGAGAAAGGAGGAAGCAAGTTGGCCAGTGGTCCCCCCGACAATTTTAGATTCCCTAACATTTCCTTTGTCTCCTCAAAACTTATTCCTAGGCTCATATATAATCACACAAGCACAGAAGGAACCGAAAGGACAGTTTTGCCTTGACAGGGACTCCTTTGGCAAGTCACTGACACTCTTTTCCACAGGACAAAGGGGCGGAGCCAGGCGAGCTCTAAGATGCTCACCCATGTATGAGCTTTCTGAGTGCCTAAAGAACAAGGTATCCTCACTGTCCCTTCCAGGCCTGGGACCCTCATGGCCTGGGATCTCACGGCCTGGGAGAACTTTTATCAGTGGAGATGCAGCAGCCCTGACCAGGAGCGGGGCCTGGTTGCACAGCTCGGCCACAGGGCCAGGCCCCGACGCTGCACTGAGGGTTCCTACAGCACCTCTTGCAGGCACACACCCAAGCACACACCAATCAGAACCCTGGTCTCAGCTGCCCCAGCGTCCAGCACTGTGATGCAGATTCTGCTACAAAATAATCTCTCCAGGCTCTTGTGCTGCAGTTGTGTCTGCAGAGCACTCAGGAGGGGGCTTGGGGCCAACCACCCCCTTCCTGTCCTTATCCACTCCATGGGCCCTGGGCAGGGAAGGCTGGATGAACACCTAGAAAGCATGGCCTCTTCTTGGGGTCTTGGTCCCAGCAGCGTTTCATCAGGTCCACCATCTGCCGGGCCTCGCCTGGCCACTCATCCGAGACAGGCTGCAGGGAGGGCCGCATGCCCGCTGCTACTCGGATGATGATGGTCATCATGTTGAGTCCTGTGAGAGGAGGCCCAGACTGAGCCAGTGCAGGGAGGCAGGGGAAGAGGCGCTGGGTAGGACGGCAGGGGCGTGTGCGCACAGTAGGGGGCGCTGTAAATACTGGTGAATAAGCAGATCTTGAACCCACTTGAGCCCCCGACTTGAGCAGGTGAGTCTCTGATCCAGCTCCAGCCTCATGCCAGCTCACGAGTGAACATGACCCCACACTGCAGGCTTTTGCCATTCAAAGGCGGCAAGGCAGACCACAGGCCTGGTTAAAAGTTTTGGCTGCCCATGGTTCGAGGCTGTCAGGTTTCCTGCCTGTCTCTTTACTCGCCTCTAGATGGCAGGATGGGGAGAAGCAAGGGGCTTCAGCCACCTGGGGCAGGGGTGCTACAGCCGCAAGCAAAGCTGACTTTTGTTGTCCCCTTTACTCTTATATGAGCTCTAGAAGCAAAGGATGCAAAGAAGAAGATGAGGGACGAGTCCCTGGTTCCCAACACAAACCTCAGCTTCCCCTGCCCTCACCAACCTCAGCCTCCCACAGTCCCTTCCAGGACCCCATCTGAAGGTTGCCCCTGCCCCAGACTCAGAGCCATCTGCTACCTGAGTATGGTTTCTTCTGAGTGAGGAGCTCCCAGACGACAATCCCGAAGCTGCAGAGAAGGAACACATTCCCTCAGAGATTGTCAGACAGCCATGATTCCCCCAGCCAGGCGGACCCCTGCGGACCCCACGACCCCAGGCAAAGCCTCTCTGGCCAGAGTTCATCCTACCTCTACCTTTCTCCCCTGAGCAGGGAGGGGCCAGAGTTTATCGCTGTCCTGCTCTGTCCCCTGGCCGCAGGGACCAGGCGGGGTGGTGGCAAATCTGCCTCTGGGTAGGTGACAAAGAGCCCAGCTACCCTCTCACCTATACACATCGTGGTTGGGCCCTGGGGCCTTGTTACTCTCCAGGAACACCTCAGGGGGGATGTAGCTGAGAGTACCCCGCAGAGCTGACCTCTCAATGTACTGCATCCCGGTTGACTGTTCCATCCACTTGGACAGGCCAAAGTCTGAAATCTGATAGGAAGCCAGGTGCCAGGAGTGGGTTGGGATAGCCTTGCCTCCAGAAGCCAGCCTTTATTCCTCACCCTTCCAGTTCATCACAGCGCTTTCCTACTTCACTGTCTCCCAGCTGAACCACTAACTACCTGCGTGATCTTGGGCAACTTCTTTACCTTCAGAACCTCAGTGCCCTCATCTGTAAAATGGAAATAAAAATCAGTAATTTACTCACAGGGACATTATGGGCCTTAAATGAGGTAGCATACAAATAGCACTTAGAGCACGGCACGTGATATAGCCTTGGCAGGTGCTGCTGTTACCCAGAGGGACTATAGAGATAGCTGCCATCGTCCATGAGCTTCTGCTCATCCATCTGAACAGGCCCCGAAACACACCATGTGTATTCAGCCCCACCTCTCTCATTCACCAATTTGCCATTCATTTAAGGCCATAAAGATGGAGCGCTCCATACCCTCATTAGGGCCTGTTCAGACAGGGGTTATGCATGTTAATGAAAGAGTTTCACAAGTGATCATGCTCTTGCAACTGGGGTTAGCAATATAAAGAAACAGAGATACAGTGAGGGGTAGAACAGTGCCCTGCTGGGGCAGATAGGGAGACACTTCCCTGAAGAGTGGTGTTTAAACTCTGGGCTGAAAGGTGATCAGGTCTTTGCTAGACAAAGAGAGAGGAGAAGAGGAACAGAATGTGCAAACATCTGAGGGGAGAAAAGAGTATGCCATGTCTTAGGAACTAGAAAAATAGGTTATTGTGACCTTCTTAAGGATTATCTCACTTATATACATCCCCGCCGCAAGCAATAAATGAGAGGGAGAGGAAACGTTCTACTTATTTTAGAAACAAGAAACTGAGGCCTAGAGAGCATTATTGCTGGCACTGCAATGCTCAGGTTCATATCTAAATGTTGCTATATATCCAGCCTTCTCTGCTTCAGGTAAGGCCCTTTCCTTCAGTATGTGTCCAAGAAGAGAACTGCTTAAAACCCTGGAGAGGCCTGCTGGCAGGCAGATAGTCTTGCTCACCTGGATAAGAGTCCAGCCTGGCTTTCAAGGGGACAAGGAGACGGAGCAGGGCCCTCACCTTGACATGCATATTGTTGTCCAGCAGAATGTTGCCCGGCTTGAGGTCCAGGTGAAGCAGAGGGGGCTTAATGCTGTGGAGGAAGTTCATGGCCAAGCTGGTCTCATGGATGATGCGGAACTTGAGTTGCCAGCTGAGGCTGTGGGTGGGTAACATCTTCTCCAGGGAGCCACTGGCCATGAACTCCATCACGATGCCCAGGGGTTGCCTGCACACCCCGTAGATGGGCACAATGTGCTGAAACTTGATCTTTTCCATTTTGGCTGCTTCTTCAATGAGGCTGTTCACATCGGAGCTAAGAAAAGTCGGGAGCAACAGATGGAAGAGGGTAACCCGTTAATCATTAGAGCAACTGGGGAAATGCACAAAGTAAGCATGCAGCCAATCTGAGGAGACCCAGAGAAACATCAGGAACTTGCAAGGTAGTGGTGGAGAAACAAGAAGTGATGCCTAGCAGGCCACACAGATGAAAGCTCAGATGGCCAGCAGTGACGAGACAGGACACTAAGGCTTAGCAACCAGTGCACTCCACAGAACTTGCTACAAAAAGCATGCATCCCAGCCTGCCATTTATTCTGGCTGGTATGTTTATCTCCCTCAACAGATTTTAAGCCCCTACAGCACTGATATTGTGTTTCATGCTTCTGCTTTAAAATATCCATTGCCATTTTGATTATGAAAGTAATACGTATACCCTGCAGAAAACCTAGGGAATTCAGAGAGCTATAAAAAGGAAAATTAAAGCACCGGTAATCTAACCTTGCAGAGTTGGCAACTGCTAATGTTGTGGTATCTTCTTTTATGCTACATTGCAAGTTATCTCTTTCCCTTCTCTCTTCCTTTCTCTCCTTTCTCTTCCCCTCTCTCTTTTGATCACAAGCACGCAGTGAGGCCTGCGCACTTCCCCACATCGCCATTCTCCTGAAGCATGGTCTTTAGTGGCTGCACGGCATTCTGTTTTATGGATGAACTATAATTATCCCCACAGCACACTGCCGTGCACCACACAATACGTCTCTGTTGAAGTGAACGGAAGTCAAGACTTAGCGGAAAGCCTTACAAAATAAGCATGTGCAAGCCCGCTCGCTCATCTCACTGTATGCGCCCCCAGAACAGTAAATACCCAAATTGTTATAGACTGTCTGGGGATTGTGGGGATGAGGATTAAGGAGAAGTAGCACTTTTCAAAGAACTCTATTTGCAAAACTGCTGGAGATGCACTCACAGAGCACCCGCAGGACATCCCCTGGAGAGCCTGCCCTCCACAGCAGGCCTCCTACTCCCCTGGCACTTGCAGTTTGTCTGCCTTGTTTCTCTTGTCCTTGCTCCTACTTCTCTACTGTAGCAAGCTCCCCTCCAGCTCTGATATTTTTACTGTCTTCTCTATTCCTCTTGGGCTCACAGAAACTAGAAAAACATCTGCCGTGACACAGCAAAAGCGTGGGCTCTGAGGGTCATCATCCTGACTTCAAACCCCAGCTTTACCACCTACTCTTTGCATGAGCTGGGGCAGGTGAATTCTCCCAGTTTCTCAACTGTAGAACAGGAATAGTAGCAACTGCCTTGCACAATCCCCATTCTCACCCAGGCTCCTGGAGAGTGTCGCCGCTGTCTCTCCATCCCCTCAGCTGCCATTGCCTTCTTCGGTTTGGTTCCTGGTGTCCGTGCTTCACCCAACACCTGTTCCTACGAGCTTTGACCAGTTTCAGGCTCTTGGTTAAGGGTTCAGATCTCTTTTTTTTGAAACTGTTATACCTCAGCATTGCCAGCGTTCTTCTGGATTTCTCCCTCTTGTTCTGGTCACTTGCTCTTTGCTTCCTTTGCAGGCTCAGGACACTTGGCCACTGGGCTAAGCCTTGAGTGCGCTCCTCTCTTCCTTCCTGCTCTGTACTTTCTGTAGTCATTCTCAACACCTCCATTGGCTACTCAGAACTGAATGAGTCTAAAGCGAACCCTTGAGTCTTCCCTAACACCTGCTCTTCTCTCAGCCTTTTTGGACTCCTCCATTCTCAGACAAGGACTTAGGTGCATCTTTGACTCCTCCTCTCACTCCCACAGTCAGGCCCTGGGCAAGTTCTGCCACCTCTACCTTTAAAATACAGCATGGAAATGACTTTCACCACTTCTGCCTGCCTGCATCCTGGCCCAAGTCTTTTTTAGCTTATGTTTACAGTACATAGCGATTACCTTCACCTTGGGGAGTTGAAATATATGCATATTGCATCTTGATCACTTTTACCCCCCTCACGCCCACCCTCCTTTCCTCTTCCTTTTCCCATCTCCACAGAGTCTGCCTCTTTGTTTCCCCTTTTATTTTGCTTTTTAAATTATTTATATTGTAGGTTTCTCATATTAGAGAAACCATGCAATATTTAACCGTGTCACTCCCTCCCACTCTGCTGCTGCCATGTGGGCCTCTTGCTGTCCTGCCCCTTAACCCCAGCCTGTTCCAACCCCAGGATCTTTGCACTGGCTACTTCCTCTACTTTGAAGACCCTACCCTAATGGCTTGCTCCTTCATCTGCTCCAAAGATCTACTCCAATCGTGCCTAATTAGTAACATTCCACAAGTCTATGTAAAACAGCAACCCTACTCCAATTCCTTCATATATACATGGCGCACAAATGAGTATCTTTAGACCAAATATATTCCTGAAAGCTCAGACTAGTCAACTCTCTTTAGGTATTTTAATCAAGAAATGTCGAGTAGTCTTAAGTACTATAGACAAAGTTTTTATTCATCATAGTGTGGCTATAATGCACATAAAGAGAGCCAGGAACCACAGAAGTACATAGGACATAGAACTCTAGACTTGGCCTCCTGGTAAGATCTATGTGACAGCTGGAAGGTGGCCTGGACCCGCTCCCATGCCTGCAGGCTGGGCAGTCTCCACTGTCCAAGGCACACCAGCCTGCAGCAGCGGGGCAGGGTCCAGCCCAGACAGCCTGGGAAGAGAAGGTGATTTGCTGTAGGTCACCCAGCAAAGTCCCACACCTCTCAGGAAGCACAGTCATGCCATAAGAGTTTGGGGTGAGAAGGAGGGCAGCAGGCGGTGGCCAAGACTGGTTATCACCCCCAAGAAGAAGGAAGAAAGCAGGACAAATGTGAGAGGACTGGAGGACGGGGCCTCTGTGAGCTCTGCTGGTCCCACAAACAGGCATTGTGTGCCTGGTGTATTTCAGGTGCAGAGGAAGACAGTTGTGCCTAGGACACTCAGGCTGTGGGGTAGAATTTACAAACAGCCTCAGGCCTAGCTCCCTCCCTCCTCAGAGCTCTCTAGGTCAAATCTTGCCAGCCTCCCTTTCTCTCCTGTGAGGAGGATGGGTCACAGATACCTGGTGGCGTCCTGCTGTGGGGAGGGGGAGCACTTGATGGCATATTGGGTCCTCCAGCGTCTGTGCCGCGCCTGGAACACCTGGCTGAAGCCACCGCTGGCTACTTGTCGCCAGTCGTCCTCGAAGTCGTCCCGGGTGAAGATGGTGAAACTACCCAGCCGCTGCTCCAGGGGCCCAGCGGCCATGGGGTCGGCCCGGCCGTCCTGGCCCTTCCCTGCGCGGAGCACTCTTGCGCGCCTGCAGGTGGGGATCCAGCAGCCTCCGCTTCCGGCTTCTCCGGTCCCAGGAGGGTGGGGATGGTGAGGTGAACCGGCCCTCCCTCTTTCAGCCCAGGAAGAACTGATCCTGCCTTGGAAAGGCGGGGCAAACCTCCAGATGGGCTGGAGGGCGGAGTGGGAAGAGGAGTGTGCCCCTTTGAAGCACCTTATCCTTCCTCCTGGGTTTTGATTTCCCCCCAGCTCCCATCCCTGAGCAAGGGATGGGTGCCAGGCCACAGGGGCACGCTGCAGTTGGAAACAGAAGTGCAGCTTGAGAAGTTCATTCCTTTTTATTTAGACCCAGTGCCTAGTGGAAGTTGATTTGTTATCTTCCTCCAGCACTATTTAGAGTATGTAAGAAAGGTTCCGGGGTCTCTTGTGGTGTGCCTCAGCAAGTATGGGGCTCAGAAAATTATACTGAAGATTTTCTGGTCTGAATCTCTTGGTCTGATTGTCCAGTGCTTCCTTTTGTCTTTGCCGGGTTTTCTTTGTTTGTTAGCCAGTCTCAGTGTGCAAAAGGTTGTCAAGAAGGGTCAGCAGGAAGAGAGAGCTTGACAACCGGACCCCTGTCTGCAGGGGTGTCCCCTTCTTGGCCAAGTTCTCAGCCCAACCGTAGAGGAATCAGCAGCTGTGTGCCCCCGAGGGCAGCGGGACCCATGGCCCTGTTGCCAGGTGGCTTGTTGCCAGAGAAAAAGTTCATGGAGCAACTGGAGCATCACCAGGACCACATCTTCTGGAAGTGGGGGCAGCCTCGGCTGGAAGGACCCCAGAGCGGTGTTGAGGTGCTCAGGAATCTGGCCCAGGAGCTCAGAGAAGAGACTTGGGGCAGAGGGTTGAAAATGTCCCTGTAGAGCCAACTTGTTTCCTGGCCGGATCCAAAGCCATGCTGGTGGGTAAAGGTAGCCAAAGGGCAGCCGGAGTGGAGGTGTCCCAGAGAAGCAGTGGGAGCACACTGGGGCGGCCTTCTCCCTTTCTCTGAACTGCCTGCTTCCTTCCTCTTTCCTGGCTTCTATTCTGGGCAATGCCTTGTTCGGAGACTGGGTATGCAGGGAAGAAGAAAAGAAAGCTTCTCAGTACTGCAGGGGGGGTGGCTGGTCCTTGGAATTGCTTCTCACCTCTCATCTCAAAGACCCGCACAGCAGGGAGAATTAGCAGTGCCTCAACAGATGAGGGCCCCAGGGACACTGAGCAAGGAGTAGGTTACTGCCCATACGCAGGTGCTGCTGGGGGAACCACAGTAGCACAATGCAGGGTTAGACACCTCTCACTTGTTGCTGGGCGGCTGGGCAGAAGTCTACTGGAAACCTCTAGAATGACCAAGTTCCAGTTGGAGGTGACCACCCGCCATAAGAGGAAATGCCTGACCTTTGGTCCATACCTGGAGAGCCCCTCAAATATGCCATCAACCCTCCAGAGTGCGGGCATGACAGGAGAGCGGAGACAGGTAGAAGATGGGGAACTTGTTCTTTCCAGAACATCTTAAACACAACCTCTAGGGTGAGTTCTGGTGAGCAGATTGAGGAGGGAAGATTGTGCCTAAGACAGTTTTCAGGGGTAACCATGGGCCACTCTTCACTGAGCCTGGGCTTTGCTCCTGGGTGGTCACTGCTTTACCTACGACATGTACTTTATAGATACTTTCTTGTTCAGATCCACATCACTGGCCACGTATCTAGGAAATGGTAGTTGATATCCAAGCCCAGGTCTCTTGGGTCCTGTAGATATGGGATGGGTATAGGAAAAGCAGCCTGGGGAAACTTTAAAGAGTATAAGAGAAAATGGAAAAGAGTTTTGCTATTTGGAAGAGGGTGGAGGTGAGGGAAACTCTCTCCAGAGTGGACATATGCCCTACACACAATGTCAGAGAGAGGCCCCAAGCTTGCTTTGGCTGGGGCAAGGCATGGCACAACGGACCCTGTCCCTGGAGCAGCCTTCTCAGTTCCTGATGAGTTGGAGAGGCTTGGAAGGTGATGGAGAACATTATCATTAGGAAGAGCAAGAGGCCAAGGCAAGGCCTCTTGCCTCCTCTGGGTGAGTGGGCATATAGCCTGGACTCGTGACAGCCACCTGACCCTGAGAAAGTCTCACTCAGGGGTACATCTCTGAAACTCGGCAGGATCATCCCAGGCTCTCGGATGAAGTAGCAGCAGTGCATGACTTGGATTTGTGTGGTGGTTCCCTTAGCCCTGCTACTCCTGCAGCGAACAAGCATACAGTGTCAATGACTTTATGAGGTGACTGTCACAGAAATGGTGAAGGAAGCATCATCTGGGAAGAGGGGATTCCAGGACCCCAAATACAACACTGTTGTGAGCAACTTACAGAGTGGAGGTGCAGGGACACTGGGAGCCTGAGTGACACCACTGACCCATCTGTTGGAACAGTAGAACCGCAGTTCTAGCACCCTAGAGCTTCTGAGCAATCAGGCGAAATAGATTTATGAAAGCATTTACCCATCACGGCTAGAGTGGTGACACTGTCATATGCTCCTCCTTTTAACTCTCTAAAGTGGGCCAGTCAAAACCCTGGTAGTCTCTGAAAAAGCTCCATGACAGGGTACCCTTCCTGAGTGAAAGGTGACAGAGGGAGAGAATTGCTGGGTCCTTCAGGAATAAGTGGGGAGAAATTGAGGGAAAAAAGCAAGATCCATCCAGAAGCTTCTTCCCAGTGGTCGGAGTGCCAAAGTCCCATGGTTCCTGCCAGTGTGGGAAGTCTGTACCTCCTCCCAAGTTCCCCACAGAGAGCTATGTGTGGGGAACTGCACTCTCAACCTACTTGAGATGGTTGTGGTCTGACTGCGACCCATGGCCACTGGAAAGTATAGGAAACATGTCCTAGCCACAGGGTTTTTGCCCCAAGAGGCTCAGAGTGCTTCAGATTGACAGCTATCAATGTATTTTATTCTGGCAGATTGAGAATAGAAATTTTCTGGACTTGGATTTATTGAATAAAGTTTCTGTGCATGTGTGTTCTTGTCTCTTGGGGACTTCAAATTTTCAGCCTGCCGCTCCCAGACTGGTAAGCTGGTTGAAAGTCTCTGCAATACTCCGGGCAAGGCTGCAATCCCATGCCAGCTTTTCTCCAAACCAGAATGACAAGCTATTTGCATACAGGGAAGTTCCCCAATCTGCCCCTGTGCTCTATCCTGTAAACATGTCACAGAGGACACCTGGACGTGTTCTAGCAGGCTCCAACCTCTGGGAGCCTGGGTGCCGAGGTGAGGGTAAGATTGGTCGAGATGAAGGAATGTGTATGCAGGAAGCTGGAGCAGCTGCCCAGGAAGTAAGGCTCCAGAGAGAAAGGAATCGAATAGGAACAGAAGTCAAGTGTAAGAGCACATGACTTAGGAAGACTTGCATTCAGTCTGCTTGGCAGTTTTAGGACCTTGACCACATTTCTAGATCTCTCTGGGTCTCTCCATCCATAAAAATAGGATAATAATAGTAATGCCCATTCCAAAAGGTTGCTGTTAGGTTTACAAACTTTAAAAAGGCAGCTGAGTGAACACCCATAGACAAGAAACGAACCAGCTTATATAAAATTAATTCCAAATATATCACGTGTTTAAATATAAAATATACAACTATAGCTGTTAGAGGAAAATATTAATCAACTCAGAATAGGGCCAAAAGCTCATAGGCTTTAATACCACAGGTGTAATCTATACAACGAAAATCTGATAGATTGGACTTCACTGGAATTAAGAACTTTTACTTTGTGAAAGACCCTGTGAAGGTGATAAGAAAGATAAACCACAGGCAGGGTTAAAATATTTGCAAATCATGTATTTGACAAAGTGCTCGGTTTTAGGGTATATAAAGAGATTTTAAACATAGTGATTAAGGAATAAACAAAGAAATCAACCAACCAACCAACCAACCAACCAAAAAAAAGCACCACAACATATCCAACTTGAAAATGCAGAAAAGACACAAACAGACCCTGAAGAGGACATTTCGCTGAAGAAGATACACAGATGGCAAATCATCATGGGAAAAGACGTCCATTATCATTAACCATTAGGCAAATATGAATCAAAGCCACAATGAGCTATCACTACACGTGTATTAGAATGGCCAAAAGTAACAATAAAAAATTAGTTACAACACCAGGTGCTAATGAGGTGATAGAGAGACTGAAAGTAAACAATGACACTATCACCCTGGAAAACAGTTGGGCAGCTGCTGATAGGACTAAACATAAGCCCCACACTATCTAGCAACTTCACTCTGGGGACACTGTCCCAGAAAATGAAAACTTATGCTCGCACCAAAACCTGCTCATGAATTGCAGCTCTGTTTGTGATAGCCAAAAATCAGAAGACAGCCTGGATGACCTTCCCCATGGGAATGGCATACAGGTGCTATGGAACCCTTCTCCGCCCCTCCCAACACACAAGAGCAGCTTAGATGAATTTCTAGGGAATCATAATGACTGAGGAAAGCTGCTATTAAAAGACTGTGTATTGCCTGACTCTTTCACATTCTTGGAATGGCAAAAGAATGTAGAGCTGGAGAACAGATTAGTGGTTGTCAGAGATGGTAGGAGGAGGTAGGTGCAGTTATAAAAGGATAGGGTCAGGGATCCTTGTGATTAAACTGCTCTGCATCTTGACTGTGGGAACTGTCACATGAATGTACACGTGTGATAGAACTGCACCAAATGGAATGCACGCACATGCACACGCACAAACGAGTACATGGATTGTGTCACTGCCAATTTCCCAGGTGTGATATTGTGCTATAGTAATATCCAATATTACCTTTGGGGGTGGAGGGACTGGATGAAGGCTATAAAGGACCTCTGCATCATTTTTAAAAATTGTGTGTTTGTCTGTAATTATCTCAAAACAGAAATTTTAAAGCTCCTTTAAAGCTTAAAGTACATATAAACCTCTCCTTTCCTCTCCCTTCTGCTCTTTTTCCTGCCCACTTTTTGTTCTTATTACCAGTAATGTGACATTCTCAGAAGCAAGCTCTTTCCACAGTAAGTGATAGGGAGTAATAGAATATTGACCGCAGAAAGCTTCCAGGAGAAC